ATATCGGCCCCTGGAGCGTGTATGGACGCGCTTGTGCAGAGGCGTCGAAGGGTCTGTAGGCGCCTCGGGGAAGGTGGGTGTGGCAACAGTTGAAGGGCGTGTGCGCGAAGGAGGTCTGGAGAGTTGCTGTCATACGTGTCGCTGTCCACGTCCACGGTAGGCGAAGAATCGAGGTCGGGGCCCGTCCATCTGCTCCATGCTTTCGATGCGTCTGCGCCTCCTCCAGCATAAAGGTCGTCCGCTTGCGGCTTCTCCAGCATTGAAGGTCGGCGCACACGGTGCACAGCGACGACATCCACGCGGGATGCCCTCTGCCTTTTCTCGTCGTCGCACCTCACAACGATCGCGTGGTCGCCTGTTTCTTCGCAGTCCTCCCCGTCTGGGACTTCTTCAATGCCGTCGTCGATCATTGCTGTGGATCTTGTCGCTCTTCTTCTCGCCGCGGAACCGTATCGCCCCTTCGGAGGTCTAGCGTCCTTTAGTCGCGAAGATCTTCTTCTCGCCGCGGAGCAGTGTCCGCAGGGTTCATCTCCTTCTCGCGTTCGCGTCGACGTCGAGCTTGTGTGTGTGGCGAGGGCGGGCCCCTCTGTCTTTGTCGCCGCGGATCTCTCTCGCCACGCGAGGGTTCGCCGTCGTCTGTGTTGTCGTCTTCTCGCCACGAACCAGTCTCGCCAGGTGTCGCCCAAGTACTTCGGTACACGTGGACGCATTCCTCCCCACGGCGGCAAAGGGGCTTGTTCGTCGTCGGTGCGAACGCAGGCGTAGCCACAGACGGTCATTGACGGAGGCGGGAAGCATGTCTGCGCTAGGCGGCGCCCGTGGCAAGAAGCGGGAAAACATCCCCGCGGACAGTCAGGGGCGGGAAAGGGGTCGGCGACATGTCCCCAAGGCAAAGAGGCTCCGTTCGGAAGAAGCATCACCAAGCCTGCCTCTTCGGCGAGGGCGAAGTTGGGCGGGAGCTAACGAAGAGGAAGACGACGACGTGTTCACGACGTGGAGGAAGCAGCAGAGGACAACGTGTCGTCGCCTCGGGGAAGCAGTCTCCAACGCCCATCTGATCAGAGCGGTGCGAGGAGATTGTTGACACCCCCTCCGGAGGCGCAACAAGTGCGTGCACACAACACCCCGAAGGCGAAGGAGGTTGTTGTCGACGTCGGCGGCGAGGACGACGAGCCCTTGGAAAGCCGAAGGCAGCGCAATGTCACACAAGGCGCCACGGCGACGACAGTCAGAATACACGGCGCGACTGAAGAAAGGCCACCTCAGGGTGGCCTGCCCTCCACGCCGTCCCAGCCGTGTCTGCGCAACACGGCTGCAGAGGGAGGCTCCATGGAATGCGGGGGAGGGGAGGGGGCCTAGCAAGAAGCACGCGTGGCGAGTGGGGGGGCGATCGTTGGTGCAGCCGCAGGGTCTTCAGGCAATGTTGTTGCCGTGGCGAGGGCGAGAGAGGAGGTCCCTGTTGTGGAGCGGGAGGTGATGCGCGGCGACAACAAGGCTGAAAGGGAGGATGACGACCCCCTTCTAAGCCGGGTTCGGAGGGGAGGGATGGCGAAAGATCTGGCCGAGCGTGCCCGCCTGTGGGTAGATGACAAAGCGTTCTGGACGATGGGGGAGAGGCGAAGGCTATACAACATCGTCCGTGAAATGCAGGAGTACTTTGTCGCCATCGCCAGCGGGCTGCAAACGCCCACGGTGCCCAGGAGCGTCGTCATGCCGAAATCCTCCACGACCCTGACAAGGATTGCAGATCCCGCACAACTGCAGCAGGCGATCTCTCGCGCGATGGCAGTGGAGAATATTGCTCCGCGCGTCTTGCACAGATGGGTCTTCAAGTCTGGGAACCGCCCCCGAGGATTCAATCTCGCTTTCCAGTACACGTTGGAGTCGGTGGCGACGGACATTGCGCGCGTCATGTGGTACGGCGAGGAGTGGAGCAACGTTGTGAGCGCGGCCGTTTGCGTGCACACAATCGACCTCAACATGGACTTGCCACTGTGGTTTGCAGGCGCGAACATTGAGGACAGGCCGGAGGACGACGACATGGCGGCGCACCAGTAGGCGACCGTTACATGCATCGCGCATGCATTTCGCGCCGCGGTGCAAATGGGTGGCAACGTCGACGGCGGGTTCATATCGCACGATCGTCTGTCGAGAATTGCGGATTGCTTCAGGCTTTTGTTGGCTGCCAGCATGTGGTTGATGCGCATGGCGGGAGACGATCCGCGCAGCCACTACGAAGCCTTTTACTTCGCCAAGCTGGTCGCGAAGCCCACGCTCGTCACGTCAATGCATCGCGCCTTCGATCACCGATGGTCCGTCATCCTAGCCACGAACGCCGTCACGGAGAGACTAGGGAAGGCGAACGCCACATTCGGAGAGTGAGCCGTGTCTGCATTACACAACTTCAACAACAATAACAAAATTCAATAAAATGGATGGCGACGCACGTCCGCGAATCGCGACGGCAACCAAACACGTCCCTCGACGCAAACTACTGAACCCGACGCGGGACAAAAGCTAGCAACCCAATCAAGGCTGGACGAAACAACAAATCTGCCCTCCGGCCATTGCTACAATGAACGCGCTTCTACGCGCTGCCGTCCACCATGGCGAACACGACCCTCCACGCAAACCACCAACCCTGACGGGGTACAGACGATAGCGACCCAATGAAGGCAGGACGGAACAAGGAATCTACCCTCCGCCCATTGCTACAATGAATGCACTTCCACGCGCTGCCGTCCACGAATGAAACACGACTCAATCGTGTTTCAATTGTTCCGCCAAAGCATTCCTCAGCGCCAACGCTTCGTCTGTCGACGTCATCATCGACACAGGCTGGAGGGGCTCTTCGATCCCCAGGTCCACACGTCGTCGCACACCATTACCGTCGACCTCCCATAGCAGATTCTCGTCGAAGGGGATTACTGCGTCGATCAGCATGTTGTGCAGTATGCACACGACGGTGAACTGCTGCGGGAGCATCTTCAGGTTTGTTTTGTGTGTCCGCAGAAACAGACGCCACATGCCCTTCAGCCTGCCGAACGCCCTCTCCATCGCTCCCCTCACCACCTTCTGTTTGTTGTCAAACCACTCCTCATCAACGTGCTGATTGATGCCTCCATATAGGACGACCATCCATTCCGAAGGGGGGTAGCCATTGTCCGCCGGAAGGTACCCGTTCGTCTTCACACCGAACAACAGTGTCACGGGGGGACCACGGAACAACGACCCCTCCTCTGAGCCCAGCGACAAGCTGGACAACTGCAGCACCCTGATGTCGTGGCAGTTGCCTTGGTATCCCATTTGCACGTCAAGCAGACGCAAGTCCAGGTCGACGACAACCTGCGCGATGATGGAGAAACGGCGCTTCCTGTCGTAGTAGTTTTCGCTCGGAGCGTTCACCGGCTTGTCGACGTAGATGTGAGTACAATCAATGCAACCGTGGCAGTTGGGGAACCCTTTATCAGCAAACGCCCGCAGAACAACGAGTTTACGAACTCCTGTCGGCCACGCGATCTTCTCTCCGAATACCCTTAGCAGCGGGGCAGTAACGTCGCGGACGACAATCGGCCCAGAAGCTCGTCCACTCCCGAAGTTGCACGTGCTGCTCTCGTACGTCTCCCCTGAAGCCCACCTGTACAGCGCGTACGCCACAATCTGGTCCGGCTGCAAAGGCTCCGTGTAGAACGTGACCCGTCGTTGAAGATGAGGCGCACACGCCTCCGTGATTTCCCGGAACACTCGTGGCGACATTCGAAGCTTATCCTGGAAGTAGTCGTCTGTCGCGCCGTCTCATTGCCTGAGGTCTTCCACGTGCCTCTTGTCCTGCGCTTCACCCACCACCACGGCGTCGCACGAGGTATCACTCCGCAACCCAATGCGTAGCACAACTGAACAACAGCCTCTGACGTCGCCACGTATTCGGCCCCATCGCACGGATCTTGCGTCAATTTCCTCCGTCTACGCGGGCGCAACTGCTCCTTCAGTCGCCCCAGCGCCCTCTCCTGCTGACATCGAAGAACGATCGTGGACACGGCCGTCGCCACTGCCTGCAGCTCACGAGGAGTCAACACCATGTCTACCCTCTGCGTCGCCCTCCATAGCCGCGACGTGGAAAAAGTCCCGTCGTTCCGCTGCCGTCTGTGTCGTCCTTCCGCAGCCGACGAAGAAGTCGAAGACGTCCGTCGAAAGACAGACCCTTTACTGTGCGTACAGTCCCCCCCACGGAAACGAGGAGCAACGCGCAATCGACGTGTGCAAAGGTCCACGGCGATGGAAGCACCACACGCTGCCCGCGCAATCGCAACGGCCTCGGGACGGAACCTCCGCCGCCGCCGAGCCCCTTTCCGCAGCACGCCGGCCTCGCGCCGCCAGCCACACGTCATCGTTGTCGTCGCAGCAGTCATTCGAATTTCGAATTTGAAATGCCCACGCCCTTCGGGTTAAATTTCTTTTCGTGTCGCCCGCCGTCTGCCGTTTCCCGCCTCGCGTCGCTGGACCACGCTGCCTCCACACGGACAAAAGAAGTTGGACCAAGGACGACCGACCCCGCGACCGCTAATTTACGTATGAAAATGGCCGTGGCGAAGCCACAAGGAAACATCCTCGGGGGACGTCCCCAAGGATGAGTGGAACGACGGTGCAAATTCCCCTAAAACAACACAAGGACATTTCCTTGTGGCTCAAGGAAACCGTAAGGAGTGTCTAACGAGGCCCATAGCGTACAGACCTGTCAGGTCTGTCAGCGGGATAAGCCGCGGACTCAATCTCCGCTTGGGCTACTGAAGCCTCTACTCATTCCTGCTGGCCCAGGGCAGAGTATCTCCATGGACTTCATGGATACTCTCGTGACTAGCAAGAATGGCAAGAGGCATATCTTCGTCATAGTTGATAGGTTCACTAAGTATGCTAGACTAATTGCCATGCCGGAGACCGCCAGGACTGAACATGTCATCAAGTTATTCATGGATAATTGGGTGCGTGATTTTGGACTACCAAAGACAATCGTTAGTGATAGAGATGTGTGTTTCACAAGCGAGATGTGGAAGAAGGCCGCTGAACAGATGGGCAGCCAGCTGCAGATGACTTCTGGGAATCATCCCGAAGCAAATGGGCAGGCTGAATAGATGAACCGTGTGGTGCAGCATCTGCTGAGGCATTACATTAAGCCCAACCAGGATGACTTGGATGAGAAATTACCTCTCGTCGCCAGTCTGTACAACAATGCTGTACACAGCACCATCGGCGTCAGTCCTAATCAACTGCATCTGGGATGGAACGCTAGACTTCCTTTTGCCTGAAAACCAAACTGCTGCAACTCCTTGAACCATTGAATTTGGTGTCCAGTATGAGAAACTGTTGCAGCAGACTGTCGAACACATCAAGAAATCTCAGGAAGCCATGATTGCTTCTGAGAACAAGCGTCGCCAACAGTCCACATTTCAGGTAGGGGAATGTGTCTGGGTCAAGGCTAGTGAGTTGGGACAGGAGTTTGGCATCTCTAGGAAACTAATGCCTCAGTATTTCGGTCCCTGGGAAGTCTTAGACATTGTGGGGAATGATTTGGATGGTCCCTCGTACGTCATTCGTATCCCTGGTCACCTACGCACTTACCCTGTTTTTCACGCCTCCAAGCTTGCACCTTTCACTGAGACAGCACAGTTCCCATCACAGAGATCTATGCTGCCCGCAACCATGGATGGCCACGTGGACGTCGACGACATCCTGGATCACAGAGACACACCTGTTCCCAAGCCACCTGGCAGGGGAAGACCTCCTAAATCTGCAAGGGAGTACAAAGTACATTTCAGGCATCATACTGATCCGAAGGAAGATCGTGGATTTCAAGGGAGGAACTTGTCAAGACAGCTCCTCAGATCGTGGCAGATTATGAGAAGAAACTGAAGGGGAAGGCACCAGCATGAAGCATCTCAGCGGACTTTTGAAGCTAAGGGGGATGGAATGCGAGGAACAAGCCCTCAAGGGGCCCTATTAGACACCATATGATCTGGGCTAAGGCCCCCAGCAAGCCGAGTGCCCGCCCTAAGTGAAGGCGGGTCTGAATATTCGTCAGAGGCAAAATTCGACATTTCCATATGTGGGTATTCAGGCTCTCGCAGCACGCCAGTTGGTTGGGTAGACGTGTGAGCCTCACAAAGCTGCATCATACAGTTGGCCCAGGCCTTGACAGTTGTGCCTGGCACATATACACAAAGCAGGGCCGATACATTGGGAAGCAGGCTATCGGCCATTGCGAAAGCAGTACCGCCGACGCACCTGCCTGGGAGCCCTGCACAGATGCAGCAAACAGCCCAAGTCCGGAGACTCAGGCCGTGCCGAACTGAAAAGGGCCCAGGCCCACAACTGTAGTCTCGGGCCTGGGCGCAGGGTCTGAGGCTCAACTGGAAGCTACTGGAAGCTTCCAGCCAGGCCACAAGCAGCATCCAGGAGGCTGCCACTTCCATAAAAGATGTGAGGCAGCCCAGGCCAGGCATTCTGGCCAGTGCTGGCAATGCGGAAGTGCTGCTGCGCTCTCGCTTGATGCTGCACTGCTGCCAAAGGCGCTGACGGGGGCGCGTAGTGGTGAGGAGGGGTGCTGCAGGACAGCGGGGCGCAGACAGCCATAGCTGGGCTGCTGGGCACCAGGGGGTTGTAGCGGACGATCTGGTGGTCTTCAGGGAAGGAGCCGAGTGTGGGGTAATCAAGGTCTGATTGAGGGTGACGAGATACGTACCTGGTGCATGAAGAGAGGTCGGCTATGGAGTTGACAGTCATGTACATTGGTCCTCGAGAGTCGAAGTGAGCCCGTTGCGTGAACCAGCTGTAGGTAGGATAGTCGGGCAGAGTAGGCTGGGCGCTGGGCACCAGACAGAGAGGAGCAACTTTGGATATTGTGTTGGTGTGGCCTACGGGCTTGAACATTGGCTCATTACTTCATTGTATTGCTCTATATGGATGGTTTCTCGGTGCATTTTGTACTCTCTGCTTGGATACGACTACCTGGACATCTGTGTGATTTCGCAACTTGGTTTCCTGTATATCGTTCGCACTCATATTCCTTGCGCAGGGCTGATCATCTCCCTTGGCAGTTTTTTTTGGGCACTTCAGGTACGGGTACCAGCTCGGGTGGTTTCCGAATTTTGCAGCTTTCAGTCTGATGCCTGCTTGTACACCGTTGTCCTTTTTGGGCACCAGGTCGGGGGCCCCGAGTAAGAGGTACCAGATAGAACTAGAGGCCCCACTGGTATCAACACTAGCCCAAGGAACTTTTGTGAAGGAATGTGGCTGTCTTCACGATCAGATACTTTGCTGCCTACTTCTCGTTTTTTTTGGGCACACATAAAATTTTGAACATCAGGCGAGAACCTGCGAAGGGAGGACCTTGTGAATGGGCTCTAGTCCCGGCGGAAACGACGAGCATGTATATATCTTTGTCGACCGGTCTTGTCCCCTCCATGCATATGTTTTTTTCCTCTCTTGTCGCTGCGGCAGCCGCTCATCGTGATCAGGTCACATCTAGGATTCCTCTCGCTCTGTGGGGATGCAAGGCGGGGATACCATGATGACAGTTCATGTTCTCAGTCAGGTCGGACGAGAGCCGTACGAGGTAGAGGGAGGTAGGTTCATGGGCAGCTGGTGGAAGGATAGAGGGAAGCGTGGAGGACTGGAGCTATAAGTTCGTGGAGATGCTGATGCATCTTCATTTCGAAGGTCGCACAAGCCGAAATGCGTCAAGGGAATGCGTATATTGGTGGTGTTTGACAAAAATGTTTTTTTGTCCTCCGTGTGGCAGTTTGTGATCTGTTCTTTTTGCACCCTTAACTTCTTCTTCTTCTTCTCCTTCTTCTAATTTGGACCATTTCTCTAGGAAGATTGTCACTTCCGGCAGGGCACCTGGGTGTGGAAATAAATAAATAAAAATCGGGCTCTTTTCTTTTTCTGAGTTTTGGCTGTCAGGAGGGGGGGGGGG